CTCGTTCTCATTCACACTTTTCATGCATGTAAACAGCAGCGCAGCAAACTGGCGACATGTGCCCACTCAAAACTCAGAGATATGGCATCCAGATAAGAGTTCACTTTCAACTGGCTATGGCGACTCAGCGCCCAAACAACTCACTGTTCACATACACCGAATCACCCTGGATATCCCACACGCGTCACTCTGAACACTCACACATACACACACTTCACACTAAACTACAGCTAAGCAGCTATGGCTGCCTCTACCCTATCGCTATACTAAGCTCCTTCTCTCTCGCCCACTGCATCCTCCGGGCTCACTGCAGACCTCCTTGCACAAGTCGCTGTAGCAGCGCTTCCGCATGGCTCACGCAGGAATGAATCCAAGGCTGGGCGCTGCCTCTTGATTTATACTTTGGAAACTCGTTGGTCTGCCCTTTGCCATCAGCCCTTGGTGCTCACAGTTCCCCGTGGTACTTGCTTTTCTAGACTGGGACTGACTGGACCTTACTGCTGACTGACTGTGGACTCACTGCTAACCTACCGTAGTCGTACTGCAATTGCACTGCAGTTTAGTCCACCACTTGACTCGCCACTTGACCACTTGCCCACTTGCCGGCCTTCTAGAAGGACTACAGCTAGACTTCTGGAACTCACTAAGACTTTTGCCCTATAGGTCTACAGATCGAACCCCTGTTAGCTATGGACCTACGACATACCTACCAACTGTTTACGAATACACAGGTCATAGGTTCAACTGTCGGGGTTTACACAGGTACTGTACACGGGTAGGGCAAGGTCTAGGGATCGAGCCCTGGGATCTGCATCTGCTACTGCAAAAGGTGAAAACCGTTTCACTCCCGCCGTCCTAAATTCGAGATCCTCCGAGAAAATTTCAGTCCAAGGCGGGACCTTTACCCTTCTTGTCACGCTCATAGGCTCTGACTATGTCGGGAGCTGTTTCTAGAAGTTCTGTTCTAGTAAACCAGTGGTCGTCCTCCAGTTCCTGATAGGCAAACTGGACCTTATACTGTTTCTGTGGACGACCTCGACCTCCTGTCCTAAAGACATCTTCATCTACAATGCCGTCATTGTCACAGCGTCCATCCATATCCGGGGGGATCATGGATCTTTTTGAAGGAAACTGTTGACTTGTGACACACGGCAGCAGCTTTGAAGCATGAAACACAGGGTATGTGTGGAGGTGTGCTGGAATCTCTATAGTGTAAGACGGTCCATCCTCTCTGCCCTTAACTTCTAGTACCGTCCACGGTCCTCTATATGCAGGCAGTAACTTCTGCGAGATGTTTTCCTCAGGTGCAAACTCTTTAGCCTTGACCCAGACTAAGTCGCCTACTTGAAACTGCGATGGGCGACGATGCTTATTTGCTTGTTCTACCATTCTGTGTTGGGCCTTCCTGAGGTTCTCTACAACTGTTGCTAGTTCTTTCTCATGCTGTATCGCAAACTCCCTAGTACCGGGCGGTAGCCTGTGAATCTGATCCCGGTTCAGTCCTTCGAATGGTCTGCGCGGCCTAAAGGACTTGTGCAGCTCATTGGGAGTGCGACAGGTGGACAAATGCACGCTGTTGTTGTATGCGCTAGCTACTTTGGGCAACATCTCGTCCCAGTTGATCTGATCAGGTCTAATGTACATGCGCAGAACTTGCTGTAGGATCTTNAATGGTCTGCGCGGCCTAAAGGACTTGTGCAGCTCATTGGGAGTGCGACAGGTGGACAAATGCACGCTGTTGTTGTATGCGCTAGCTACTTTGGGCAACATCTCGTCCCAGTTGATCTGATCAGGTCTAATGTACATGCGCAGAACTTGCTGTAGGATCTTGTTCATTTGTTCTTTCTAACCGTTTGTCTCTGGATGGCGGCCAGACGACATCAATAGCTTAGATCCATAGACTCGCACGAGTTCTTGCCAGTTCTGGCTGGTGAAACGACTGTCTCTATCGCTAACTATTGACAATGGGATTCCATTCTCACTACTCAAAAGTCAAAGAACCTCTATATCACTAAATCCATACGTGCCTCTGCAGGCAAGGGAACAAAAACGGCATACTTGCTTAAACGGTCAACTATGACCATGACTTGGCTCTTGCCATGCCTACTCTTGACCTGAGTATCCATGAAGTCTATGGACACTGAGTCTCCAGGTTGATCAGGAATAGGCAGCGGTCTGAGAAGACCTAGGGGTGCGCGTGTAGTAGTCTTATTCCTCTGGCACACTTTACAACTGCGAACATACTCTATGCAGTCATTCTTCATTCTTGGCCACGTGTACGCATGCATCAGATTGGCTAATGTCTTTTGCCAACCAAAGTGTCCCTCTGTGTCATGGCATTCCCCTAAAATCAATCTGCGGATCTCTTCGCTGTTGGGAACGCACAGGCGGTCAAACACATTAGTCTTCTCAAATAGTAATCCCTCAGTAATGCGGTAATCTGGCTCAATCTCTGGGGCTTCTCTAACTCTCTTTAGGAGGTCACTATAGATGGGGTCCTGCGCATACGCTTGCTTCACTTTCTCCTGCAGGTCTCTCCCTATATCTAGATAGTGTACTATGGCTCCAAAGTAGTCTGATCTCCTACTCAGAGCGTCCGCAACTACGTTGTACTTGCCCTTTACTGGCTTGAGCTCAAAATCATACTGGTCTATCTCTGCGGCCCACCTAGTCAACTTAGGTGTCATCTTAGCCTGAGTCTTCAACCATCTAAGGGTCTCATGATCAGAGTACACTTTGAAGTGCCTCCCAAGCAGGTAATGCTTCCAGTGCTCTAGAGCCTGCCTGAGAGCGTAGAGTTCTCTCTCGTACGTGGAGGTAGCGACCTTCTCAGAGGGCATCCTTGCTGACATGAACTCTACGGGTCTATAGCCATTGCCGTTGTCTTGCTGCAACACAACGCCTATTCCATATTGACTTGCGTCCGTGGTGACGACAAATGGCAAGGACGGATCTGCTACCTTGAGGACAGGGTACTCTAGTAATGCGCGCTTCAGTCTCTTTAGCGCAGACGTACAATCTTTGTCCCATTGCCAGATTGCCTCTTTCTTAAGCAACCTGCGCAGGGGAGCGGCGATAGTAGAAAAGTTCCTCACTAACTTTCTATAGTAATTAGCTAGGCCTAGGAACGACCGCAATTCTGTCAATGTACGGGGCATCAGCCAGTCTCTAATCGTCGCTATCTTACTGTCCTCTGGCTTTAAGCCATCCCTGTCTAATACGTGGCCCAAGTACAGGACTTGTGTCTTGGCCCACTCGCACTTCTTCGTGTTGATCTTGAAGTTAGCCTCTCGTAGCTTCTCCAAGACCTGCCTCAAATGACCATGGTGTTCCTGGAGGGTCTTACTAAAAACTAGGATATCATCTAAATAAACTACTACAAACTTATCTGACCATGGTCTAAACAGGTCATTCATACAATGCTGAAAGGTCGCTGGCGCGTTGGTTAGTCCAAAGGGCATCACTATGAACTCATAGTGCCCATATCTAGTCCGGAATGCAGTCCTGTACTGGTCATCAGGATGGACCTCTATCTGATGATAATCGGACTTCAGGTCTATCTTAGAAAAATACTTACAACCCTGCACCCAATCTAAAAGATCGTCTATCCTGGGCAGCGGCTCAGCATTCTTTACGGTGATCGCATTTAATCCCCTATAGTCTATACACATTCTCAGCTCTCCTTCGTTCTTTGGACAAACAGAACTGGTGCTCCAAAAGGAGACGAACTGGGCCTGATCCAACCTTTCTCAAGGAGTTCGTCTAACTGCTTGCTGGGTTCCTCTAACTCTCTAGGGGACATCATGTAAACTGCGCCCTTAGGAGTTTTACTGCCAGGCTCTATCTCTATCCTGTGCTGGATGGGTCGCGACACTACTCCTGTCGGCGACTCAGTCAAATCTTTGAACTCTTCCAGCAGCTTGGCAATCGTTGGATCGGTGGAAGTCACCTCTTCCTTAGCCTCAGTGACAGGTCTGACATAAACTACAAAGACCTGTTTCTCTAATCTCTCCTTCACTAATCGCGCGAATGAGGAAGCACTAAGACAGCAATGTGCCAAGGTGTTATCTACACCTGACACATGAAACAGGCGGGCAGTCTCAATCTCGCCTGACGGACGAGGGAGCCTACACTCATGCTCTCTCAAGTGGAGTGTGGCCCCTGCTGCCTCGCCCCAATCCATTCCTAATACTATATCGAAAGGAAGGTCATTCTGTACGAGGAGAGTCAGGGAATGGAGAACTTTCTCCACCTTCCCATCCTTCTCTAGGCGAAAGTACGTTTGGACTCCCTCTACATAGTCCTCAACACGCATCGTGCGGTTGTCTGCGAGGACATTGACTATAGGGTCTGCTAACTTCTGGACTTTTAATCCTAGCCTTAACTTATTCAGCGCTCTGCGGCTAATGTAACTGCGGGTGGCCCCTGAGTCTATAAGGGCCCCTACTATACGCCTGAAAACTTCTACATCTACCAAGATTAGTTGTCCTTTACTCTCCTTCTTCATTTTGGCCCAGGCTGGCATCCTCTCCTTTAACTCTTCTACCACACCTGTGAGGGACATGCCTAGAGAGACGCTCACACAAGCAGTCTCTGGACAACTAACTAGGCACGGGCCTGCAACCTTTGCCATAGGCTCATGTGGGTTGGGAGTGTCCTGTTCGCGCACGCTCACTTCTCCACATGGCCTTGAAGTAAGGGCAGTTGCAACCCCTACTGGCGGCTGCCTTTTGACTGTTGGGCAGCCCAACGGGCCTGTTTGTACTTTGGACAAAATTTAATTACGTGGCCCGGGTCACCACAAAACACGCACTGACCCAAGTTCACGCGTTCCTGCCATACGCCCTGGTCCAAGCCCAAATCTTCCCAGGGCCTGCCTTGTGGCAAGCCTGGGTGCCATCCTCCTTGAGGTGCCCTTCCACCTCGTCGCTGTGGGGACTGATTAGAGCCCTCATGATTTGGCGGGGGACCTTGACCCCTACCTCCCACTTGGCGGTTCCCTTGTCCGCCAACCCCCTGTGCGCCCGGTCCTCGGCCTCCCATGGCCTGGCCCCTTTGGCCCTGGCCTCCTCCTCTACCTTGCGGCCTCCCTCCAGCCGCAACAGCAGCATAGGATCTCCCTTGTCCCATGCTACTATCCGCTTCCTCTAGGCCCCACTCAATCTGACTATATGGGACCTCGTCAGTACCACCTTCTTCTAAAGTAAGGATCATGTGATCCTTGGCCCTCACTTGGCCCGAGATGGTACGGCCTTTCCACCTTTTTCCCTTGTCTAAGTCCTTGTGCCAGAAGGTGGTAACTGGCATAGACTTTGACTCATACAGGATCACTTAAGTGATGCCGGCCTGTTGAGATTTGTCAAAGAAATGCCCACGTAGGGCCTCTGGCATGGCACGATAAAATAACTGGACCAGTTGGGTCTCAGTGACCCCATGGTCTGGGACGGCTACCAAGTCGTCCATAATACCCTTGAGTGCTCTTGCACTCCTCCACTATCGCGAGTGGATCGTTTTTAGCTTGTCAGAGGCGCGAACGCCTCTTGTTGGGTCTGCAAATCGCTCCTTCAGGAGCTTGAAGAATTGAGGAAGGGGGGTGACTTTAGAGTAAGCAACCAGGTTGTTTTCACAACCGGCTGCACGCTCAAGGGACCTGGCAAAACTAGCCGCCTCATCCTTAAGGGCCTGAAAGGCCACGAGGACTTGTTCCTCTGTCAGGATGTGCTGTAGGTACACGTAATTATTGACACTGGCCTCCCAGTTGTCAAAGTTCTCCTCCTTCTTTCCCCCGTATGCGTCAGGGAACTTAAGCTTTACGGGGCTACAACGACTATGGCTTTGGCACCCTCAATTGCGCCTTCACAAAACTTCCCCACATTGTCTCTCAGTTGCTTGACTTCGCCCCCAATGTGGGTGACTATATCGGGCGCAAAATCTCTAAAGCCCGACCTCATGGCACTCAAGGCTACCTCTTGGCTCCAACTGGCTTGGCGCTCCTGCATCCATGCTTTGCTCAACACCTCCAGGTACCCCAATACCTTATCCCATTTGGCCTGGTCATCTGCTTGGGCCCGCACTTCTTTCCTACAATCTTGCACCTTCAACACCTCTGCGGTCAGTTTGTTGACTTCCTCTCTCCTCCTCTTCTTCTCCCTCTTCATCCTCAATTTTCATGCCAACATCTGCTCATCCTCCCTTTCTCGCCATTCCAGAGGATCCTCAATTGCCGCTAGCTCACTGGCTAGTGCATCCCTCTCTCCCTGAGTCACATAGGACTCTGCCTCCTCGTCTTTTCCCAACGATAAATTAGCGACCCACTCACTTATCTTCTTCTCCATCTCTGCATCTGTATCCCTCTTCGTGCCACTACTCCCTTCTCTACTTTCAATTCGAATCCTCTCTTTTTCTTCCTTTGCTGCCACTTCTTCCTCAACAAACTTTCTCCTCTCTTCCTCCTCCTTCTGAACTCTCTCCATCTCCTCCTCCAATCTCTTCATCTTCGCCGCCTGCTCCTCGGCGATAGCCTTTAGCTTCGCCTGCTTTTCGAGCTCCTTCCTCTCTCTCTCTCTCTCTCTCTCTCTCTCTCTCTCTCTCTCTCTCTCTCTCTCTCTCTCTCTCTCTC